TTTCTGGCCATGTGCATTGTCTGAACAGGTAGGTTTTGAAATGAAGCAGGGCCATTTCTTTCAGCCTGTGAGGACAGCCCTTAGACAATTTCTCAGATGTCATAAGCTGTTCTTTTGTTTTCATAGTATATTCTCCTTGGCAGTTGTCAAACATGTCTTGGTATCTTAACCATTTCCAGATGATGGTGCTTGGGAACAGCTGCTCCTTAAAAAAGGAACTGTGATATGGCATACCACAAGGTGCCATCCTATCCCAATGCTATTCAACATCTACATGAAATTGCTGGGAAATAATATCTGGAGGCATGGGGCAGGTGCTATCAGTATACTGATGACACCCAAATATATTTCTCTATGCCTTCTAACACAGTTTCAGCTGAGGACAGTGTGTCTCCTCTGAATGAATGCCTGGAGGAGATAATGGACTGGATGAGGAAAAGCAAATTGAAGCTGAATCCAGACAAGACAGAAGTGCTTAGTGTCAAGGGTCCTAACCTAGGTTTGAAGGTGTGTCAAAACTCCTCCTGAAAGACTGTGTTTGCAGCTTGGGGGTGTTTATGGATCTATTGCTCCAAATGACTGTTCAGATAGATGTGACGCCCAGGATTGATTACTAGCAGTTTCGGCTGATGTGCCAGCTGTGTCCCTACCTAGGGCTGGAGGACCTAAAGATGGTAGTGCACATACTGGTAATCTCAAGGCTGGACTTCTGTACCAAGTTTGGAAAGTTCAGCTGGTTCAAATCATGGCAGCCAGATTGACTACTGGGACATCAGGAGTGATCATATTACACCAATATTAAAATCACTCCATTGGCTGCCAGTTAGTTTCCAAGCAAGGTATAAAGTGTTGCTTATTACCTTTAAAGCCCTACATGGTTTGGGTCCAGGTTACCTACAGGATCGCCTCCTCCTATATAATCCGCCCCATATGCTCAGGTCCTCTGGAAGAGAATTACTCCAGTCAGTCTGGACTAGGTTGGCAACTGTCAGCCAGAGGACCTTTTCTTCAGCTGCCCCTAGGCCTAGACTGTGGACTGACCTGTCAGAAGAGATTTGACAGATCAATACGCTATCTGAATTTACAGAACATTAAAGACCAATCTCTTCTGGCAGGTTTATCCAGATGATTTTTAAATTGTGAATTTTAAATGAATTTTAGATGTGGGTTATTTTAATATGAGTACATTTTATTTATCCTTTTAAATTGATGTGTGTTTTAACTGATGTGTTTTAATGGATGTTGCTTGTTTGTCTATTGTTGTCTATAGACAACAAGGTGCCCCACCTCGTTCCAGGGGGAGAGGTGGGTAAGAAATTATTATCCTCCTCCTCTTCATCATCATCATCAGACTAAGTAAGATCTAGCCACCCCCCCTCACCCAACCCAGCCTTCAAATGAAAATGCTTCAGAAGTAAGTTCCTTCAAGACACTGGTGTCATATGTAAAGGGAGCCAGCCTCGTTTACCTAAAAATGTTGAAAGAATGCACTTTATAGATGCCAAAAACACTGCTGAACTATGGGTTAATTCTGGAATCTGCTTTCAGTGCCAATCTTACAACATATATAATATTTTGTAATGGCCATGAGCAGACAGAGAGTATTTTTCTCTATCCAGAGACTAGTCACCATCCAAACAGGAATAAAATGGAGTTTTCAGCTCAGATTCCCAGCTTTTGAATTCTTGACTGCCAAGATTGTCTTATCTTGAAATATAAATACCACATCCAAAACAGTTTTATTCTTTCTGAGAAAGCAATTACATAGGTAGAATGATTCAACTCTAATTCCTGAGGAAGAGGCTGGCAGAAAAAGGAGGTATAAGAAAGAGAGGGACAGATTAGGAGGGGAAAGAAGGAACAGAAAAGGTATATTGTAGTTCCTTTCTTACTGGGGTGGTAAACCTGTTTCTAGCAATGTATTCCCCCATAAGAGGAGCATTGTTGCTCACCGCTGTAGATAATCTAGAGCAAGAAACTTATATTCTAATCCAGAGGCAGGAAATCTGGTGGTCTCCAGACATTTTGGACTACAATGCTCTTAATGTTGGCCATGCTAGCTGGGGGTTATTGAAGTTGTAGTCCAAAACATCTGAAGGGCACTAGGTTTGCTCTAGCCACTCTAACTGATATGTTACACTAGCAACAGAATCACTTTTTATAACATCTTGCGACGATATGAACATGCAGTTAATGTCATTAACAAATACTGAATAATGCTTAGTGATGTACAGTGATTCTCAGCCTACAATTCAAAGTGAATCAAGCTGACCTCCTGAACTAAAGTGCCAATCAGCATGCAATTAACCTTTGGATTTTACACTTATCTCAATTTTATGATGCTGTTCCTGGCTCAAGAAGAATGCCAAAATGTATTTTAGGATAGTGAAAATGTTGCTTTTGGCACTTACAAAAAGCACGAGGTGGTTTATAGCATAAAATTATTTTAAAAAACAGTAAAAACAATTAATATTTAATTCCTTTACAATGATCAGGTGGTAGTAGTAACAGTGATGATGATGTTGTTGATGATGAAGAGTTATAAATATTTTGTCCTGGGCATGTTGATTTTTGTCTCTAGATCCTTAATGATCGTAGCTTCAAAAAGAGACTCACAGATTCTGGTGCCTTTCTCTACACCTGAAGTTTGTAAAACTGCCAGAATATCTCCTTCACTTGTTCTGGTCCCCTCTTTAATAAACAATTTTCAGACTTCCTGGGAGGCAATATATTAAAAGCTCTCAGCCTCATTCATTGATAGGTGATTGTTGGCAAAGTTTTTATAAAATCCTTCTCTGTCATTCTGTGAAAGGGACCTCAAATTCCTCAGATATCTATGTTGTCAAGCATTTCTTTGCTATGTTTTCTGTCATGGCACCATAGTT